CAAAAACGCTACCCCAAACGCTCACAGCATCGACGACAATAGAAAAGTTTCCCGGCACATTAGAACTGAGAGGAAACACAGCCACTGATGTGTTGAAAAGCATGAATGCCTAATCCCATGAAAGCACCAATACCACGAGAAGCTTTGTTGAGAAGTGACATAATTACAGTCTGCTATTTAACACTCATTAAAGAAATGAGCAAAAGCTAACCCTCTCTGAAGTTTGATAAGGGTTTGAAATTAAAGGAATTATTTTAGGCCCCTAGACCATCCATAAATGCCTTTGATGTTTTATAACAAGTCCGTCCCAATCGGTCCATCTTGTCTACCAGTCTCTTAATGTAACGTCCACCTGCTTGTTATAGCTCAGAGGCTGATAAGAAGTGATGCTTGTACGTCTCCCTGGGGTGTGATTGGGAGGTAAATATTAGCAGGCCCTCAGCGCCACCCCACACCAGTAAAACAAACCACTGTCCTCTCATAAAGGAATCAACAGTCAATGACTTTTTAAATGTTATTATGCTGTCATGAGGCTTGAGATAGGTGTATGCGTTCAAAATGAGTCTGAAAAATCATCTGGAGGGAATGCGTGTGTGTTTGTGTGCATATACACACAATCGTCCTGTTCATTATTGGCCAGCAGCAGAAGCCAGTCATTTCCCTGTCTTCATAAAGACCCGGCCCATTAAATTCTACCTCCAGTCAATAATTAGGACTCCACAAATAAACCAAAGGCAATTAAATCAATGCTTCCCCGGGCCAGTGCATGGATCCCATGACCCACATGGACACTCCATCTTCACTGCTGGCCTTATTCATGGAAGGTTGCGGTGGAGCCACACAGTGCACCCCCTGGCCTGCTCATGATTATTAAGGAGCACTGTCCCTTGATCTTAGCTGTGGAGACCTGTTTATGGTGGCTCTCTCCTGAGAAGCATAGGGGTTGATTTCATTAACTCATCAGTGGAAGTGAGTGTAGAACAAATGAACACAATGTTTCATTTCATTTTGAGTGGACATGTGGGGAAGAGGTGAGAGGAAGCGGGCTCCTGAAATCTATGGCACTTCTTTGGCTTTAAAGAAGCTGCAAAGCTCCTCATCCACAATTACTCACCTCTATGTCTGCAACACCCAGTTTGCTCGCATCACGAAGGTTTCTTTCTTGTTTTGTTGATGTGGCAGTGCATGACAGTGACTGCTAACAATAACTTGCACGCAACATAGACACCTCTCTGGAGCTCTTTCACATTGATAACCATAACCATGACCATACACACACACACACACAGACACACACACAGACACAGACAGACACAGAGTGACTGATTGGCTTGCTATTGACAGGGCCACTGAGATAATAAAGTGCTGTCCCACTGGCAGCTCCATTAGGCACTGACAGTGACAAGATGGGGCTGCTGCGACGAGTGTGTACAAATATGTACACACACCAAGAGACTTGCACACACGCACACACCGACATATCCTCATCCTCTTCCAGTGACAGGTCAGCCAGGTAAGGACATGGATCTCTCATCTTTCCTTTCACTGACTCTATTTCTGTCTGTGTTTTTTTATAAGAAGAGGTGTGTGAGTGCAGCTCTGGGTACGATCATATCACTGTTAGGAAAGTGTGTTATTAGTGTCACAGGCAGGGTGACACGCTGAGCCCTTCTACTACACAGACGGTCTTCTTGGTGAGCCTTTCATAAGCTATGACAGAGAGCAGAAAAGCTAAAAAGGAACAGGGTGAAAGTTGTTTGGGTATCAGTCTGAACACAGTTCAAATTGTCTCAGTAATCTTAAAAACATGACATTCAGAGGCTGACTTGATTAGAAGGCATAAGTACTTTATAAAGATTTCATCTGACCTATTGTGAAAGATGTCCCCCCCAGCACACAAACACACACACACAAACCAAAAAGTAAGAAATGAGACAAAGTCGGCACTTGGTGTCCATTTGATATGACAACATGTTTTTAAAAAATGAGTGCAAGGAAACTGTAAAACAGAGAGGATAAAAAAGTAGATAAATAAATAAGCAAAAAACAGAACAAGATGGACTTGAAAGGGGAAAGAAAAAGTCAGATTCAGTGAAGGGGGGATGACTGTGGTGGTCCCAGCGGTCCCCACAGGGACCTGGGGGCAAGTCTCAGCCTTGTCATACTCGACTCTTCTCCTCCTCCACTCTGCGCACCAGCTCCACTCTGCACCCCCCCACCCCCTCCACCACCCCTGTTCTACCCACAGAAAACGTCGATAGCAGGCTGCCGGTGCCGAGGTCTCTGGTGGACACTAGCTCATTCTCCCGGCATCGACAGGCCCGCCAAATCAATATTTAGTTCCCCACTAACAAGCTGCCTCGGGGTCTGAGCCAGAGAGAGAGGGAGGGAAAGAGAGGTATGCGGGACAGTGGAGGACGGCAGAGAGAGACAGAGCAGGGACTGAGAGCTGTCCAGCTAGAAGGGAAAAACATGGATTCAGTGGAGTGCTGTATGTGTGTGTGTGTGTATTAGTGTGGGAGGGAGGAGGGGGGGAAGGTGTAAAGGTCAGAAGAAGATCTGGGGAACAAGAGAACAGTGTCTGGTGTGTGTCGTGGTGCGGAGGCGACGCATGAGTGCCTGCAGCTGCTGCTGACATGAACACAGACAAGGCACACACACACTCGACACTCTCAATCATACACGTATCACAGCGAGCAGACGTTGACAGTGCTCAAGCAAAGCTCCAGCGGAGTACTCACAGATGAGTGGCTGTGAGCACACAAAGGCTCCAACAGTGAGGATGTACTCTCCTTTCTTTGTTTTATCTTTTGAATCACTGTTTTTCATTGTTTCTGAGCCGCAAGCAGGATCATTGGGGTTCGAACTAAAATTCATCTTCTATTTACTGTATTTGCGTGAACCCAGTGCCCCAATTTTTTTCTGTTTTTTTTGCACTAAAGACTGACAAAGCAGCATATTTATCACAGCAGGCATGTATTTACAGAAATGCAAACACCTTTAAGACAAAGCTTCAAAAAGAACTGAGCATTAAATTTCTTTTTAGAAATTTATAAGCATTTGCTTTTAAAAACAAGTCCAGCTAATAATGCCAATATTATATTACTGATTTAGAAAGTTATTTTTCATCTCTTCCTGTTTTTCTCCTAAGCTGATACATAGCTACCACCCAACCAAACTATTGCAAAACAGACTTTCATTATTTAAAGAAAACAAACTAAGTCTTATAATTTGCATTGGAAAACGTAAAGAATTTTGCATATTTGAGAAAAGGAAGAAAAAAATTGTAAGTGCGTATTACATTGTTGTATTACAGAGCATATGTAGCAGTAATGACCAGAGATTTTAGAACACCTTAAGTATTTATTTAATTATTGCACTAAACATTTGTTAGTGTGTTATTAAGATAATAAAAGGCATATATTTAGGATAATTCCAGGTTTTCAGCTTGGTCTATGAATGACACTCGAAAATCCCTTTTTTTTTTCAGAACAGAAATGCGTTTTAGCATCTATTGATTAATACTGATGATATGATATTATATAATACAGTCCTGATCAAAATTTTAAGACCAGTTAAAAATGGCAAGAATTCACATTTTGCTCTGTTGGATCTGAAGAAGGTAGAGTAGAGCTTCCAAATGCAAAAAGAAGAAATGTGAGTGAGACAAAATAAATAAATAAATAAATAAATAAATCTGAGCAAGTCTTTTGTTGCAAACAACCATTAAGTTTAACTAGGCTAATCATAACCACCAGACAGCTAAAAATGGAGCTTCAGGTTGTGCAGAGGCGTCAAACGGCAGCTGGCTATGTGGCGATGTTGCAGGGGAAGTTTATGAAAATGGACACTACTGCAGTTTCAGACAGCGGATGCCCTCCGTGAAGCCATCTTCACCACTTGGACCAACATTCCCTGCAGCCTCCTGAAAACACTAGCCTCAAGCATGCCAAAAAATTATTTTGAGGTAATTAACAAGAATGTGTCGACTACTCATTACTGAGTCCTTTTTTTCAAATTTTATCTCGATTTTATGGAGTTGTTGGGATTTTTTGAGATATGGTCTTAAACTTTTGATCAGCTGATGAACAGCCTATTTCAGTTTAATACTTATTTTCAATAAAAGGCTTACTCAGATGTTTTTTTTTTTGTTTCACTCATATTTCTTCTTTTTGCATATCGAAACTCTAATTAAAACCTTCTAACAACCTTTGCCAGCTGCCACTTTAACACACACTGAAGTCCATCTCACGAGATTTAGAACTTGTAAGGTGAGAACAAAGGTTTCTAATCATTTATTAATTTCGATGATCAAACTCTAATTTGTCATACATACTGTATAAGAACAACAACAACAACAAAAAAGATTTAAACCATCTTACACATATTTTACCGCAGTTTATTTTGAGAGTTCATTGAAAAACTGTTTGCTACTTAATTTTGTGTTTTTTAATGTATTAATACAGTATTTGTAAAAAATAAACGCTAGAGTTAAGGACTCATCTCTCAGTGTCTAAAAAAAAGCTATACTGCATTTTCTTTCTTATATTTATACAAATACCAGTGTTAGAACTTGAAAAAAATTCTATTTAGATGTTTAGTAAGAGAAAATGTACCTTTTGACACTCTTGAAAAACTACAAATGTATTTTTTAACTTTAAAAACATCCAAATGTGAAAAGTAACTAAGTTAAATCAGTTATTTTCTATGCTTTTAATTACTTTTAAATCAGAGAAATTGATACTGACCAATGTTAGAGTCAACAAATTAAATTAAAAAAAACAATAATAAATAAAAATAGAAAGCTGCAGCTGGTGTTTCTCTAGTGAATTCTGCCCCAAAGGAGACTTGTCCTCTTTAACCAATTGGAAAATTTGTGCAGATGTTAATTTTGGTTAACTTTAATTGAAAATATCCACCTATTTATAGTGTTCCTTTGTTCTGATATAGTTTGAAAATAATGAGCAATTCATATTATTATTACAGTATGTGAAGCTGACCTTCTGCTGGAGAATGATGTTTAGGTGGTCCAACCACTTCTGGTCACTGGCACTCTCTGTGAAGGTTGCTGCGCTCTGGAAACAAAACAACAAGATTATTGCCTTTTAATGGCAGGAGACCTGAAAACCATGCTCAATGGCTGTGAATCTTCATGATATATATACATACACACTGTATATAAGCAGTAAATGTATGTGGATGGCTTGAATAACAAGGTATCAAGATACTGTATGATGTTTGTGGAGGAAAAATGCCACAGTATCTTACTTTGAAAAGGCTGAAGCTTACAGGCAGTAATGCAGCATCACACCAAGTGGGACCTTGAATAAGCTTCCTACAGACCCAGTGGCAGGGTATGCAGGATATATCTGCATACCAGTCTTTTAAAAAGACCTTAAGGAAAGCAAGCCTTGTTACTGCTAATGAACAGGGTGAAGATCGACTGCATGACCATGCACACCTCAGCACGTGTGTATTATCTCTTTAAACACAGAGTATTGCCACTGGAAAGGTTTGTGACAAACCTTTGCTTCACAGGGACACCCTAGTGGAATATGAGGAGGAGTAAGGGATTTGAATTCCAATGTGGAACTTCAGAATGGTGGCCTGAATGAACACAGGTCTATGACGTTTGGGGTGGCTATACGTTTTTTGCAAAGACACTCACACAGAGCTCACACTTAATCTTCTTATAGCACCAGTTTCTGATGTTTATTTAGACGAAGTACCAACAACTTTTTTCAGGGCACAGGGTAGGGTATGTGTTAAAGATTATGCAAAAAGTAAAATTTCTACAAAATTGGTAAATAGGTGAGTAAAAAGGAAAGACAAACCACATGAAGTTTCGATGGCAATATAGATTTCAGTGTTAAAAAATGCAGATAATCCTCAGTTGAGAGCTGTGCTCCCTGAGTTTATATCTATTTTATTATATTATCTACAGTTAGCTGCATTGTTCTGCCAATACAAATCTAATCTCTAAGGCCAAACACAAGATCTCCTTTTCTATATTGTGCAGTGAGATGTTTTCACCTGCATGTTATTGCTTGAAATATCTGTCAATAAGTAGATAATTCAGAATTAGGTTTATTTCAGCACATCCCACAGATATTTAATTAGACTATAATCTGGGAAGTGTCGATACAGGATTTACTATCAGGGTTTATTTTTTTTACAATCCAAATAGAAACATGTCATTGACTATAGACAAAAAATAGCGTAGCTAACATAAAGTGACCAGGTGGTTTTTAACTGAAACCCCCAAATAATTGGTCAAAGCATCTGTGATTTTTGAAAGTAGATTTGATGAGATACAGTAAGTGGATTTGACAGCAGAAACGATGAGCCATTGATATTCACATTTGAACACATTCTGATTTAGTGTCCATTATTCTTACACTAAACAAATAAAACAAAAACCTTGTGACCATCAGCCAAGTTAAACCAATCAGATAAACAAATGAGCACAAACTTGCCTATGTAAGGGAGAAGTCATTATTGACTGTTGTCAAACTTTCTTTAACTACTGCCCTTTATCTTGCTCCCATCATAGGCATTTATTGGTCCAGGACTCTTTTTTAACACAAATAAAATAGCTTGGAATGAGGACAAATTAATTTTCTCATGACGGCTCAATCTCAACTTAAAACCAGATCTTGGTACTTTTAGTTATTCTTAAAGTTATGGTCGCAGATCTCTGCCATCCTCATTTTGTGGATTGGATCCTGAAACATTTGAGACCCACTTAAAAGGTACTTCAGGTATAGATGCCTTATTAGGTGTCAAATTAGAAGAGAGCTAAGTTGAAGAAGTGTAACTCAAGTCAGTTTTTTGCAACTGCTGCATTTTAATCTCTCAGAACATAGGCATCTGTGGTCTGTGAAAGACAGTGTGTGCAAATGCAATTGTACTTATCCACCCTAGGTAGATATAGAAGAAATAACTGACCCTTCATTTAACATTATGGTGCAAAACAAACTGGCCTAGCAATTACAGCCTTATTACATCTGGATCATTAACTCCACAACAAGTTATCCAGGGAGTCTGGAGCTGCTCAAGTCTGAGCTCTGTTGCACACTATGGAATGAATCAAGGCAGGAAATGCAGCATGATGCAAGTAAATAAATATGGGCAGAGTACATATTTTGCAGAACACACTTTCTTTGCTTGTCATGTTGATACCATTAACTTTGTGTCTTTGTATGTAATTGTATCTGAATATGCAACTATGTTGGAACGAATAACTTAAAACAACAAATTTTGTTGAATAAAAAGGACAGAATAGAGTGATAAACTCTGGTGCTTTCAATCTTTTTTTATGCTAAAAATAGCTAAAAATCTGCAAAACAAGCTGCACAAACAGGCTGGGTCAGAGACACATTTCTGTTCAATGAGATACTTTTGGAAAAACTTGTAATTTCAAGAACCAACAAACTAAGACTAATGGTCTGGAAGGAAAAAATGTAACTTTAGAAAAACATTGTGGTGCTAATTAACTAAAGGTCATTTATTTCTAAAATAATATCCCCACCAGGAATAATTAAAAATAATAACAAGCCTGAAAAAAATATATAATTGATTTAAAAATTAAATGCCTGTGCCCTAAAGTGTTAAAACATTAATACAAAACATCTGTTGATCTAAAGAAAAGTAAGGATGCAGGCAGAGTAATGTTTTTGAAAATATTCAAGTATGAGCAGTACTAAACAACCAAGTACCCATAAAAATTTAGATTTTTCAAGTGTTTTTTCTGTGCCTCTTTTTCCTGCTCAAATAGAATGAAAATCATAACGGCTGTGTCTGTGTTGCTAGGGGAGTTGTTCTGGAACCAGTAAGTTGCTGATAAGAACCCCCCGCTCTGTCTGATTCTTGTGTTTTTGGGCCGGTGGTCAGAGGGTGTCCGGTGGTGCCGGTGCATGGAAGCCTCACCTCGGTCTCACACACACACACACGCACGCACGCGCGCGCGCACACACACACACACACACACACACACACACACACACACACACA